TTGCACATAATGGCGGTGAACACCTCTGTATGTTCCCTCCTTTGTGACGTAAACGTACGTGCAAAATTTTTGTAGAAACATATGCCGGAAGATATATACGTGCCCTTTTCCAAATCTGCGCATAAATTCTGAACGTCTGATGTTGTTATTGCTTCCGCCAATTTCACCATTGCTTCCATGCCGCGAGGATTTTATAACCGCGATTCAATTTGTATTTCGGCATCACGTAGACATATCCTGCTGTCTCGTCTGTTGATAATCTCGCAAAAAATGGTTGTATCAAATGCGTTTTTTGTGCGTCACGCTCTCTATAATGTTTCAATATACTCGAGAAATCCAAACGAATTGCACCAGATGAAGTCGTTCCACAATGCGATGGGAGATTCGGATAAGATTCGCATAGAAATTTTGCATGGCCCGCGTCGGGAAGAGTGATCGTTGGAGACGGGAACATAAGCCAGGCCAGATTTTTATTAACAGCATACAGATATGGCACAGGGTAAGACACGATCTAAATTGACAGAGTATTTTCAATTATTCGAAGATGCATTTAAGCTATTATCCAATATTTTTTCGATGATGAGTTGAATCGGGCGAAGCCGGCCAGTTTCATGGAATATTATGAGAATCAACAGAAACTTGCTAGCGCTTTACGCATTATCAATACAGATTCAGGAAAGCAGAATTTACAGAGAATCGAGATCCGAGCGGTAAATGTCAGTTTCATGCTTTTGTTAAGAGTGCAGATTTTCATTTGAGTCCGCACCAGTTTCGTTTGGGACCATGCAATTATTTAAAGCAATTTCCTTCGATTTCTGCGAATCTTGAATGCAGTTTCAGTCGTTATAATGCTTGTCTTCAATGTATGAGACAACTTGGTTCGTGGGTGACCAGCGAACCTTAATTGCCCTTGCACATTTAATTTTACGTCCGATTACAGATTTCGCCAATCAGGAAGAGTTAGAGGAAGCAGCCAATCCTGACGAGCGTGCTTTAGTGCTTGCCCAGCAGGCGAAACGCGGACGAAAACGGCAAGAATTCGCGATTTCGTTGGGCAATGCACAGCTGCGTTTTGCTAGCGATCCACCGCTTTGCGTTCTTTGTGGCGCTGTTTTTTAACGCTGTTTCTTTGTGTTGTAGAAACGCAGACGCAGCAGAGCGCGGTTGAATTTGAGAATCCGCGCGCAGTTTTGCTGTATTTTTTTCGCCGCATCGTCCCAGAAAAACGAATCATCAGAATCAGATGTTATTAGTCCGGTTGATCAATGAGTTTCAAGATAGACTTTGTTCGCATTGCAGATTTTCTGAAAACTAGTTTTTGTTTTTGTAGTATTTTTGTTTATGGTTTGTTTTCTGATTTTTCCATGATGCAAGCAGTAAATTCTATGTTTTCCCACCAGGGTTTTCCATCTTCGTTTTTTCCTTTCAATCCTTGAATTCCCTATTTTTTTGAATGATAAAATCAAAACAAAAATCATTTTTCAAGTTTTCCGAAATATGAGCGCAGCACCAACGTAGAACATGTTTGAACGACACAAATTCCGGAAACAGCAAATTAGAGCAGAACATGCCGCAGGCCAGGGTTAAAACCGGAGCAATTTGGAATACGGAAACGCCGCATTTGAAACCGAAACATCCATATGGCAAATGTGAGACAGATTCGAGCAGTTAAATTACGGAAATATATTATTTTGATTTCCAAACCCCGCGAAGGGCAGATTTGAGCACCGAAATGCCGCAGAGCAAGAGCACATATTTTGAGTTTTGAGCAGAAAATGCGTGTGGGATATGCTAGAGCACGTTTAGCACCATAATCACGGGGCAGCCACAAATTTCAGCACCAAAATGCTGCAACACACATATTACGTTACATAATATATTTCGGTTTCGAAATGTGCAAAGAGCAGATTTGAGCACCAAATGCAGAACAAGAGGACATATTTCTAGTTCCGAACAGCAAATTAGTAAGGAGCGTGAAAACACATTCCAGCACGCAACGACGGGGGAACATGCCACAATTTTCAGCACAAGCGTTGCAGGACAATTTTTAGTATTTTTTTTCAGGTTTTGTTTTGTTTTGACAAAAATAGCGTTCGGTGGGATGTTGAGGCATAGGAAATGTTTGAATTGCGTCGTTGCGATTATTTCAGTGTTTGCGTAAATTCTGTTGCATACAACCCCCTGGATTAAAAAGTGGAGACTGCAGGGGCCGAGGTAGACGTGGTTTGCCTCCCGTTAGGCAGCGGGGCCCCGGGACAATGTTGGATTTGTTGCCAATTCCGGAGTTTCCGGTGCCTCCATCATCCCTTTTAATATTATAAAGGCCAAATGGGGCTCCGACCGGAAAGTGGGATTCTGCCTACGACTTCCTCAAAAAAAGTTTCCGGTCGCCTTCCAGGGCGACCGGAAATTCTGCCATGCCACCGGAAAGTGGCGATTCCGCGTGGGACTTCCTCAAAAAAATATTCCGGTCCCTTTTGAGGCCGCCAGACAGTGGCGATTTCGCGTGGAGTCCTCTCCTCACACATTCGATCTCATCATGTGTCGCATTGTTCGTGTCGCATGCGTACGATCGATCTCAACTTTTTAATCCAGGGGGTGGTTCAAAAAATGGTTCGTTTTGCGATGTCCTCAACGTTCGCATCCGTAGTCATTTCGGCTCCAGCGATGTCTTCGGGCAATCGTGCGAAGCTGGTTCAAGCAATACGGAGGGCAGCGAAAGCTGCGGGCGTTCACCACTCAGAGCTGCCCAAGGACACTGCTGCGAGGGAGAAGGTCCAGGCACTTGCACACCAGGTCGAGTCTTCCAACGCCGACGCAGCAAAGAAGGCGGAGGTGGCCGCAGCGTTCAAGGCCTACGAGGCCACGTGGCCACCCGAGGAGGACGAGGAAGACGAGGAGGACGAGGTGGTCGGCTTCCGGCTGCGTGGCACCAGCTTCTTGCTCACCTACAACTGGGACTTCTTTGGCACAGATTTCCCCGACGGTACCCCAGCGGCGGCGTCTGCAGAGGACCTGTGGCAGCTGTGGAAGGACTTCAAGGGCCAGAAGAAGAAGGACTTGCAGGTCAAGAAGAGCACCAGCACGCTTGAAGCTTCTCTCCACAGCGACCTCCCCGGGAGGGTGCACTTTCACTGGAAGGTGGACGTCGCGGCAGCCTTGGACGAACCCAACACGGCTTGTTTCGCTTTTCACGGCGTCAAGCCAGACGCCCGCAGACCCTTCGTTCCACCTGGTACAAAAGCAGCCAGGGGCGCCAACTTTACAGAGTCGACCAACAGAGGTCACTTCTACTGCTGGGCCCCGAAGACGGGTTCGCTGTACAAGGGAACAAACTGGAAACCGTGGGTGAAGTACAGGGTCATGGGGAAGTGGGTGGACGACCTGTGGTCCGACGACAAGCTCGACAACGACACCTACGAGGCCCTCGCGCTGCGGGTCCGCGTGGGCTTCGCAGACAGGAAGCGCAACGTCGAGGCTGTCCGTGCGGGCGAGAAGGAGGCTTGGATCGACGAGCGGATCTCTCTGGTAGATGCTGCGCTGGACACGATCCGCGCCCCCTTCCGCACTTTCCCGGCCGTGCGGCAGTGGGAAGACTCGTTCCTCGCCCTCGACTTTCGGTGGAAGCTGTTGGCTCTTGTGGCCGACAGTGCTTCCGGGAAGTCGAACTACGCAGAGAGCCTCTTCAGCAAGCCGCTGGTGCTGACAGTCGAGGAGGCGGAGCACCTGGACCTCCGAAGCTTCCAGTGCGACGAGCACGACGGGTTGGTGCTGGACAACTGCAACTCGTGGGCGCAGCTGCTCCGGTGGAGGGCGGCGTTGCAGGCGAGGAACAGCAAGTCCCGCGGGGGCCAAAGCGCCACCAACGTGTACGCGTACCCTCAGTACTTGTACGGTGTCGCCGTGGTGGCGACGGTCGACTGGGACGCGCCGGACTCTTACTTGGTGGACGGAGCCTCGCCCTGGCGCTCTCGCTGGCTCTGCAAGAACACAGTCCTCGTGCGGCTGGCAGAGGGCGAGGCCTTCTACGACAAGACGAAGGTCCCAACTGAGAAGGTCGACAACACTTTCTCTGCTTTCGCACGGACGGTGAAGCGCAGGCGCCTAGCCGAGCAGCAGCAGGAAGACTAGCGACTAGCAGGGAGAGAGCACCTCCAGCGCAGCCACACAAGCAAGGGCTTGTGCGACGAATTGACCAGACTTGCGGCAGACCACAAAATCATCATCTCCATCCGCTGCTGTCGCCGCCGCTTCTGGCAGGGGGCGGGGGTGTTTCTAGGAAGAACCGTGCTTCGAAGGGATGGCCCGCCGCCGTGTCAGATTTGTAGCTTTTCCTACTGTGTTTCGTACATTTTCGCACATTCGCATCGGAGCAACGCAATCGTTAAAAACTCGAGTTGCTTCTTTCCAGAACGCGCCGCGGCCTGCCCGCTGGTCCCAGGGACATTGAGAGAGGGTGCTTTCAACGTACTTCTTGTCAGGGTCGGCGGCGGACCGCAGTAGGAGCCCGCAGGGGGTCTGGCACATGGTACGCCTCAGCCGCGCTTTCCCTTTCGCTGACTGGGGGGCGGCCAGTGCCCCGGGCGAAGTGTGGTGCTGGCTGAGGTCAACGCCGCTCACAACCAAACCTAACCTACCGGGTGTCTGCGGCGACGACGGCGGCGACGTCGGCGGCGACGGCGACGACAACGCGTCCTTAACGCCCCCCGACATGCGCCCGCGGAAACATCCGCGGGTCGATCATGTGCGCAGGATGAGTGACCTCGCCGAGAGCATGTGTTTGGGGTCCGTAGCCGTTTTGGCTCAAGGCTTCTTCATCTGCGAGTTGTTGCCTCCAAGAGGCATTGCCGTCCACCATGGCCTCGTATCAGTTGTCTCCCTTTGAAGTTGGGCAAGTGAAGGCCCACATGGAGCATGGTCTGGGGTGCACGAGCATAGCCCAACGCTTGAAGAAGGCAGACGGGAAAACATCATTTTCGGAGACGGCAATATCGAACTGCATGAAGAAGTTGCAGGAGAACCCTAAGTGGCGCGGAGAGAGGGACGCAGGGTCAGGAGCCCCCCGCAAGACTACCGAGAAGCAGGACAGGGACGTCGTGAAGTGGGCGGTGGCCAACCGAGGCAAGACGAAAGTGACCGTGAGCCGTTTGAAGAAGCAGTTCCCGTTCCTGAGGAAGCTGTCTGACACGCTCGTGGAAGATCGCCTTGCCGAGGCCGACCTCGCGTGGCTCAGGCGCCGCAACAAGACGATTGTGGTTGCCCAGCATCGGGCCGCTCGGGTGGCCTACTGTCAGAGCGTGAAGCGGAAGCACCAGACCACGCTAGAGAGGTGGGCCTACGTGGATGGAACCACGTACTATTTGGACAGGACCGCCGATGAACACGAACACACAGTGCGCAGGTCTCTAGGGTCACATGTGTGGAGAAAGTCTGACAACAGTGACGCGTTGTATGCGGACTGCGTCGGCCCGTCGTCTTACAACAAGGCTCAGGGCCAGCCGGTGCGGGTCTGGGGGATGCTTGCCTCTGGCGTCCTGAACATACACGTGCTTGACGAAGGCGAGGTGATGGACCGCTCCGTGTACGTGGAGCTGATAGAAGACAAGTTCGATGAGTGGAGCTTGAACTGTGAATTTGTGGTGTGCGATTATGAAAGGTGCTTGCGCACGCCAGAGGCTTTGCAGGCCCTCAATCGCAGCGGCATGAAGCTGGTGGAAGAGTACCCGAAAGTGTCCCAAGATTTCAACGCAATTGAAAATGCTTGGGCATATTGCGGGAGCACCTGGACGAAACTTGCCCCGTTGAGATGGAAACCAGGGACCACTTCGTGAAACGATTGCGCGCGGCAGTGCGATGGGCCAATACGCACAGGTCAGAACAGTTGTGGTATTTGTCAACGAACCAGAAAGAAAGGGCAGAGGATTGCCTGCGGTCCAACCCGCCCGGATCTCGGACGAAGTGGTAAATGTGCTTCAGTCGTAGACCAATGATGCGTTCGGCCACGTGGAACATGCGAAAAAATCAACACATCAGACGTGCTTCGGCCTGCTGGCGGTGGACAACCCCCTGGATTAAAAAATGGAGACCGCAGGGGCCGAGGTAGACGTGGTTTGCCTCCCGTTAGGCAGCGGGGCCCCGGGACAATGTTGGATTTGTTGCCAATTCCGGAGTTTCCGGTGCCTCCATCATCCCTTTTAATATTATAAAGGCCAAATGGGGCTCCGACCGGAAAGTGGGATTCTGCCTAGGACTTCCTCAAAAAAAGTTTCCGGTCGCCTTCCAGGGCGACCGGAAATTCTGCCATGCCACCGGAAAGTGGCGATTCCGCGTGGGACTTCCTCAAAAAAATATTCCGGTCCCTTTTGAGGCCTGCCAGACAGTGGCGATTTCGCGTGGGACTTCCTCACACATTACTTTTGTCGCATCTCATGCCACCAGAAAACGACGATTTCGCTTGAGACTTCCTGACATTCGAGTTTCTGGTCTCATGTACGCTCACACAGACGCCGCGGACTTATTCCTCTTCCCACTCTCTCCTCTTATCATCACAGTATTGGATTGTTCCGTGTCGCATGCTCTCCGTGTCGCATGCGGTTCTTTCGGTGTAGCTCCGATCTCAACTTTTTAATCCAGGGGGTGGTTCAAAAAATGGTTCGTTTTGCGATGTCCTCAACGTTCGCATCCGTAGTCATTTCGGCTCCAGCGATGTCTTCGGGCAATCGTGCGAAGCTGGTTCAAGCAATACGGAGGGCAGCGAAAGCTGCGGGCGTTCACCACTCAGAGCTGCCCAAGGACACTGCTGCGAGGGAGAAGGTCCAGGCACTTGCACACCAGGTCGAGTCTTCCAACGCCGACGCAGCAAAGAAGGCGGAGGTGGCCGCAGCGTTCAAGGCCTACGAGGCCACGTGGCCACCCGAGGAGGACGAGGAAGACGAGGAGGACGAGGTGGTCGGCTTCCGGCTGCGTGGCACCAGCTTCTTGCTCACCTACAACTGGGACTTCTTTGGCACAGATTTCCCCGACGGTACCCCAGCGGCGGCGTCTGCAGAGGACCTGTGGCAGCTGTGGAAGGACTTCAAGGGCCAGAAGAAGAAGGACTTGCAGGTCAAGAAGAGCACCAGCACGCTTGAAGCTTCTCTCCACAGCGACCTCCCCGGGAGGGTGCACTTTCACTGGAAGGTGGACGTCGCGGCAGCCTTGGACGAACCCAACACGGCTTGTTTCGCTTTTCACGGCGTCAAGCCAGACGCCCGCAGACCCTTCGTTCCACCTGGTACAAAAGCAGCCAGGGGCGCCAACTTTACAGAGTCGACCAACAGAGGTCACTTCTACTGCTGGGCCCCGAAGACGGGTTCGCTGTACAAGGGAACAAACTGGAAACCGTGGGTGAAGTACAGGGTCATGGGGAAGTGGGTGGACGACCTGTGGTCCGACGACAAGCTCGACAACGACACCTACGAGGCCCTCGCGCTGCGGGTCCGCGTGGGCTTCGCAGACAGGAAGCGCAACGTCGAGGCTGTCCGTGCGGGCGAGAAGGAGGCTTGGATCGACGAGCGGATCTCTCTGGTAGATGCTGCGCTGGACACGATCCGCGCCCCCTTCCGCACTTTCCCGGCCGTGCGGCAGTGGGAAGACTCGTTCCTCGCCCTCGACTTTCGGTGGAAGCTGTTGGCTCTTGTGGCCGACAGTGCTTCCGGGAAGTCGAACTACGCAGAGAGCCTCTTCAGCAAGCCGCTGGTGCTGACAGTCGAGGAGGCGGAGCACCTGGACCTCCGAAGCTTCCAGTGCGACGAGCACGACGGGTTGGTGCTGGACAACTGCAACTCGTGGGCGCAGCTGCTCCGGTGGAGGGCGGCGTTGCAGGCGAGGAACAGCAAGTCCCGCGGGGGCCAAAGCGCCACCAACGTGTACGCGTACCCTCAGTACTTGTACGGTGTCGCCGTGGTGGCGACGGTCGACTGGGACGCGCCGGACTCTTACTTGGTGGACGGAGCCTCGCCCTGGCGCTCTCGCTGGCTCTGCAAGAACACAGTCCTCGTGCGGCTGGCAGAGGGCGAGGCCTTCTACGACAAGACGAAGGTCCCAACTGAGAAGGTCGACAACACTTTCTCTGCTTTCGCACGGACGGTGAAGCGCAGGCGCCTAGCCGAGCAGCAGCAGGAAGACTAGCGACTAGCAGGGAGAGAGCACCTCCAGCGCAGCCACACAAGCAAGGGCTTGTGCGACGAATTGACCAGACTTGCGGCAGACCACAAAATCATCATCTCCATCCGCTGCTGTCGCCGCCGCTTCTGGCAGGGGGCGGGGGTGTTTCTAGGAAGAACCGTGCTTCGAAGGGATGGCCCGCCGCCGTGTCAGATTTGTAGCTTTTCCTACTGTGTTTCGTACATTTTCGCACATTCGCATCGGAGCAACGCAATCGTTAAAAACTCGAGTTGCTTCTTTCCAGAACGCGCCGCGGCCTGCCCGCTGGTCCCAGGGACATTGAGAGAGGGTGCTTTCAACGTACTTCTTGTCAGGGTCGGCGGCGGACCGCAGTAGGAGCCCGCAGGGGGTCTGGCACATGGTACGCCTCAGCCGCGCTTTCCCTTTCGCTGACTGGGGGGCGGCCAGTGCCCCGGGCGAAGTGTGGTGCTGGCTGGGGTCAACGCCGCTCACAACCAAACCTAACCTACCGGGTGTCTGCGGCGACGACGGCGGCGACGTCGGCGGCGACGGCGACGACAACGCGTCCTTAACGCCCCCCGACATGCGCCCGCGGAAACATCCGCGGGTCGATCATGTGCGCAGGATGAGTGACCTCGCCGAGAGCATGTGTTTGGGGTCCGTAGCCGTTTTGGCTCAAGGCTTCTTCATCTGCGAGTTGTTGCCTCCAAGAGGCATTGCCGTCCACCATGGCCTCGTATCAGTTGTCTCCCTTTGAAGTTGGGCAAGTGAAGGCCCACATGGAGCATGGTCTGGGGTGCACGAGCATAGCCCAACGCTTGAAGAAGGCAGACGGGAAAACATCATTTTCGGAGACGGCAATATCGAACAGCATGAAGAAGTTGCAGGAGAACCCTAAGTGGCGCGGAGAGAGGGACGCAGGGTCAGGAGCCCCCCGCAAGACTACCGAGAAGCAGGACAGGGACGTCGTGAAGTGGGCGGTGGCCAACCGAGGCAAGACGAAAGTGACCGTGAGCCGTTTGAAGAAGCAGTTCCCGTTCCTGAGGAAGCTGTCTGACACGCTCGTGGAAGATCGCCTTGCCGAGGCCGACCTCGCGTGGCTCAGGCGCCGCAACAAGACGATTGTGGTTGCCCAGCATCGGGCCGCTCGGGTGGCCTACTGTCAGAGCGTGAAGCGGAAGCACCAGACCACGCTAGAGAGGTGGGCCTACGTGGATGGAACCACGTACTATTTGGACAGGACCGCCGATGAACACGAACACACAGTGCGCAGGTCTCTAGGGTCACATGTGTGGAGAAAGTCTGACAACAGTGACGCGTTGTATGCGGACTGCGTCGGCCCGTCGTCTTACAACAAGGCTCAGGGCCAGCCGGTGCGGGTCTGGGGGATGCTTGCCTCTGGCGTCCTGAACATACACGTGCTTGACGAAGGCGAGGTGATGGACCGCTCCGTGTACGTGGAGCTGATAGAAGACAAGTTCGATGAGTGGAGCTTGAACTGTGAATTTGTGGTGTGCGATTATGAAAGGTGCTTGCGCACGCCAGAGGCTTTGCAGGCCCTCAATCGCAGCGGCATGAAGCTGGTGGAAGAGTACCCGAAAGTGTCCCAAGATTTCAACGCAATTGAAAATGCTTGGGCCATATTGCGGGAGCACCTGGACGAAACTTGCCCCGTTGAGATGGAAACCAGGGACCACTTCGTGAAACGATTGCGCGCGGCAGTGCGATGGGCCAATACGCACAGGTCAGAACAGTTGTGGTATTTGTCAACGAACCAGAAAGAAAGGGCAGAGGATTGCCTGCGGTCCAACCCGCCCGGATCTCGGACGAAGTGGTAAATGTGCTTCAGTCGTAGACCAATGATGCGTTCGGCCACGTGGAGCATGCGAAAAAATCAACACATCAGACGTGCTTCGGCCTGCTGGCGGTGGACAACCCCCTGGATTAAAAAGTGGAGACCGCAGGGGCCGAGGTAGACGTGGTTTGCCTCCCGTTAGGCAGCGGGGCCCCGGGACAATGTTGGATTTGTTGCCAATTCCGGAGTTTCCGGTGCCTCCATCATCCCTTTTAATATTATAAAGGCCAAATGGGGCTCCGACCGGAAAGTGGGATTCTGCCTAGGACTTCCTCAAAAAAAGTTTCCGGTCGCCTTCCAGGGCGACCGGAAATTCTGCCATGCCACCGGAAAGTGGCGATTCCGCGTGGGACTTCCTCAAAAAAATATTCCGGTCCCTTTTGAGGCTGCCAGACAGTGGCGATTTCGCGTGGGACTTCCTCACACATTACTTCTTGTCGCATCTCATGCCACCAGAGAACGACGATTTCGCTTGAGACTTCCTGACATTCGAGTTTCTGGTCTCATGTACGCTCACACAGACGCCGCGGACTTATTCCTCTGCCCATTCTCTCCTCTTATCATCACAGTATTGGATTGTTCCGTGTCGCATGCTCTCCGTGTCGCATGCGGTTCTTTCGGTGTAGCTCCGATCTCAACTTTTTAATCCAGGGGGTGGTAGAATGCAGTTTTTGAATCGATTTTCCATTTTTTTAATTTTCTTTTCACATATTCAGTGGTATTTGTTTTTTTACAGAGAAATTTAAGTTGAGGTTCCCGTGTTTTTCGTAAGAGCGTATTCCAGTTTGAGAAGAATAACAGTTTCAGTTTTTTGAATAGATGCATACCTCATGCATTAAATTCGTTTGCATCTTTTGAATTGCAGTTTGCTGAAATTCGTTGCATCTTTGAGCAGATGTGAGCATCAACTATAAGTAAGGATAGTAGAATACATTACATCAACGGGGAATGCGAAAACGCCATAATTTGAGCACCGAAACGCTGCAGAACATTTTTTTTAGTAAAACAATAATGGCGTTTGGTGAATGTTCAGGCACAGAAACTGCTTGACTTGCGTTTCTGCGATTTTTTTTTGTGTTTCTGGAAATTCTGTCACATGCAATGCAGTTTTTGATTGGACTTTGATTTAATTTCCCAGGTTTCTATAGTTCCAGTGCTCCCAGTAATATTTTGCAGCCAATATTTTTTAGTTATTTAGATTAGTTCGAGCATTCGAAGTTTCATTTATTATGTTTCCGACAGTAATTTGATTTAAGTTGTCATATATGTTTTTTTTTCCCTTAAGAGAAATATCAGTTTGAGAAGAAACAGTTTCATTTTTTCCAGTGGAAGCGTACCTCGCGGCAGGCGTTGACTTGCTTTGCATTTTGTCCAATTGCATGTGCTTGAGGTTTTCTGGATGCCCCAGGTCAGTTGTGAGGCTCGCGCACAGCCGCGTTTTTGCTTGGTAAGTGGATCGGGTGGCTTGCCGTGTGTCGTGTAGCTGGCCTTGTTCGCTGCCGGGCAATTGCTTTTGCCGCGCGCGGTGTCGTTAATGCCGCGACCAACAACATTGAATTTGTAAGTGTTGAAATTGCTGTGCAGGTATTTCTGTATAGTAGTACCAAATTCAAAATCTGATTATGATTGAGAGGGCTAGGTGCAGCACCGTAGCAAGCAGGTGGGAAACGCGGAAGCGCGGCGGAATAGTAGGAGCGAGAGTGAGATGAGGGAGAAGGTCGACGGCAGACGACAGCGACGTACTACTACTACTAGTACTTCTACTACTAGTACTACTACTACTACTACTCTTACTACTACTACTCCTACTGCTAGGACTAGTCCCACTACTACCACCACTACTACCACTACTACTACTACTACTACTACTTCTTCTACTACTACTACTACTTCTACTACTACTACTACTATTACTACTACTACTACTACTACTCCTACTACTACTACTACTAGTACTACTACTAATAGTGCTACACTATGGCCACTACCACTACTACTTGCTCTCACGAAGTTACTCCTACATAGACTAGTCTTGTTACCACTGGCCAGGGTAGGAACAGTATGAACTTGCGAGTTAATATTTTCTGTCTCGTTGGACAGCAAAAGAATTAACTCGCAAGTTAATACTTGTTCTTGTCTTTGGGGAATGAGAAGAATTAACTCGCAAGTTAATACCTTTTGTGTCGGTCGCGAGTTAATACTTTTCTGGGGGGGGGGGGGGGGGGGGGGGGGGGGCATGCCCGAGATGAAAAGTATTAACTCGCGAGTTAATTCGTTTGTAACTCGTGATTCGAGTGTTGTCGATATATATGTATATGTATATGTATATGTATGTATATATATATATATATATATTCCCATACGCACCTCTCCGAGGGAGTAGAGCTCAGAGGGGATTAATGCGTCCGTGTGTGCGTCCGTCTTTGATTTTTCTAGCCGTTTCGCTAGGCTCATCCTCGAAATTTTGAAAATTGGTGGCATCCTTCACGCAGATCGTGAAGAAGAGGTCGAAAAACACATGGCATTTGAACATTTTAACATAAAATCTTCAAAACACATGGTAATTTCAATAATTTTGACCCCGATTCTTAGAGAATGGCGGTTTCGCATGAGACATCCTCCCAAACTCGAGCCCCAGACTCCTCCTCGGAGCCTCCTGGGGGCCTCCTGGGCCCTCCTGTGCCTCCTGGGGCTTTCTGGATCTTCTGATACCCCAGGTCCCGCCTCGGAACTTCCTGGAGTTTTCTTGGGCCTGCGGAGGCCACCTGGGGCCTTCTGGGGCTTGAGAACTACATGCGCACACAGAGACACACATCGCGGCAACACATCACACGCTAGACAAACATAACATACACACACAACACCGACAACACACAAAAAGCACGCACCACACAAAGCACACATCACACACACAACACTCACAATTCTGGGGCCTGCTGGAGCCTCTTCTGGTATTCAAGTCGGGCCTTCTGAGGTTCATCCTGGGGAGCCTTGGTACACGCATAGCAAGGTGCGGCAACCCCACTTGCGCTCGAGTGCGACTTCGTTGTTGTATGTCACTCCTGCTTCAAACACCCTTTCAGTTTTTTGTATCAGCCTGGGCACACACGTGCCATTTGTATATGTGTGTGTGTGTGTGTGCGTGTGT